ATATGTCTTCGGATATCAACAAGCTTTCAACTTGCCTACAAAACGCAGGAATTCAAAATATTTTTAACACTCCAGATTTTTGTTAAATTAAGTCTTTTAAATATTAGATTAACGCTGTCGGCATTTTGTTTATGCTTCTATATGACTTAAGCAATAGTCGTTGCTGAAGTATACCACTTATTTACTAGTTGCATAGGTTAACTGCAGGAAATATAAAATTAACTGAACATCTCCCGAATTTTGTGGTTTTTGTTTTGATACAGTTTGAAGACTAACAGAATTTTCTTCTTTAAATGTTCATGATTAAGAATCAGTATAGCTTTAAAGTGATATCACTTGGAAATATGTATTCACTTGTCATCTTCTTCCCAACCTTAAACCGTATCTTTTTTCAGTTTTGCAATTTCTTTCATTAATTATTACATTTAAGTTTTCATCTTTATTAGAAATGATTACGGTGACCACCTGTAACAACACTAATTTCTAATAGAACTTGTCTTATCATAATAGAACTTATTGTTTGTATGAGTTTATTTTCCTGTGATATATTTGTAATAAAAATCACAGTTAACCAAATTGATCGTGTCCATAGACAAATTTTGTCTTTGTGAATAATACCTAGTTTATTGTCTCCTGATTTCATACATACATTAAATAACATAACTCTGAAAGCAGTGGTTCAGTGAAGCATTACTGGCCTCACTAACCACCATACTATTTCATGAGAACACGATTCATGTTAAACTGTTATCTGAACTTGCACACATTTAGCTAAAAATATCAACCGAAATTTCTGAAAATTCTATTGTTTCATAATTGAGGAAAATATGAAACTTTTTACCCGTAAATGACCAGTCAGTGTACCTAACCCAGTCATACAGAAGGTCATTCATAACACAAAATAACTCAATAGTAATGTCTCTAAAACAACACTAGGTGACGTGGGTTCGATGATGCAGATACATCTTGCTAGTGAATGCCAACAAGCATGACTCCTAGGCCTAAGGCTTACTGTCCATTACCTTCAATCAACTAACAACTTAGTTGTGTGCAATGTCAACCTTAATGATATTTTGAAATCACTACCTGAATATCGTTTATCCCTAGCATTTTCTTGAAGTGAATTAATCTACGATGTAGTTAAACAATTCAAAAGACTTTAAATCTTATAGCTTAAAATTTTAGTATTATTCCTTAAAACTCATGATCATCCACCAATTATGCATTACAATTGTTTTTCGATAGATTTGTTTATATTGTAATGACTTCTATCTACTAACAGTCATAAACTATAGGAATTTCATTTTCTTCACGTTCATTTAATTCTGTCAATGTTGTTTTCAAAAAAAAAACAAAATAGTATATACGTTATAGTTATATACGTTATACAAAGCTGAAACAAAATATTTTCGTCAACATGGTAAAATGAGAAAGTTTATCATCAAGACAATTACAATTATTCAGTATTATTACTATTATTATCATATTTACTAAGTACTAACTTTTTTATTATGACAGTTTTCTTTGTCTAGCAGCTGTCAGCAATTCAATTAAGCATTTTAAAAATAGTTTCAAAATATTCAAGTACTACTATGCAAGAAAATTCCATATTTTGTAGACGTTTTAAAGACAAAGGACATTTCGATATTTTTTGTTGAAAATTGCTATTTGTATTATTAAGTATGCTATAGTCATTCTAAGAGAAAATTTTCAAAATGAAACCTGATTAAACTATACTTTAGAAGCGGCAAGTCTTACTTCAGTTCTTAAATTTTTTGTAGCAACGATCAACTAAGCATGTTGTAATTTGGTACAACCTATTTTTTTAATTTATAATCTCAGAAGGTCAGTTTTTATGCTTGATAATATCAGACTTCCTGCACCGTAAAACAGCTGTGATCATCACACTGTGTTCGAGTTTGATTTCAGTAGGTATTTTCTCTTATTTCTTTTTGGAATACAATACGTAGCTAAATATTTATTCATCGATTTTGTTGGCTGTTTCCTCAGCAAACAAGTTAGTTGTACGCTTATGTATGTATGGCCTAAGTTAACTGATATCATACATGTCAGCTTGGGAGACTAGGGTTCGCATAAAAACGCCATCATGCAATAGATCGAATTGTAGAAGATATACGTTTTAACGTTATACAACCCCTGACTGGACTAGGGAATACTGTCATAAGTTCGCGGCTACACTACATATGTACTGTGATAATTTAGCTTTATAAATGCCCTTAAATCCTCGTTTCAGAATGAGAAACGAAATTGACAAGTGTTACATTTTACCAAATTGTCTGATTTCCATTTACTTACTTTGTAATCCCATTTATTTATTTATTATTAGTCCCTTGGGTTCCTAGTGGAACATAGGGCTTCAGTAGCACGTCTCCATTTCATCCTGTTCTCTGAGATCTTTTGAACCTGGTTCCACGACAGCCCACAACCTCTCATTTCCTCTTCGCACGACCTCCTCCATGTCACCCTCACCTCGGACACCCAACTCGTCGCTTCCCATGGAGATTCCACTCGAGGGCATGACGCGTGATGTCCCCAGTCGGCCTTCTCAGTGCATGGCCAATCCATCTCCACTTCTTCCTGCACATTTGTTGCGTTATAGGTTCTTGGTTGGTTCGTTCCCAGAGTTCCTTGTTGCTTATTCTTTCTGGCCATCTGATCTTCAGTAGCGAGCCAGCGTAAGCAGTTGTTGATGAATGTCTGTAGTTTATTGGAAATCCCTTTCGTGACGCGCCAAGTCTCTGAACCATACAGAAGCACTGACTTGACGTTGGTGTTGAAAATCCGTATCTTGTTCCGCATGCTGAGTGCAGTGCACTTTATCTCCACACTGGTTTCAGGCTAATGAACGCCTGTCTTGCTTTTCCGATTCTGACTTTGACGTCCTCGTCCGTCCCGCCTGTAGTTGAAACAGTGCTTCCTAGATAAGTGAAGGAGGTTACTTCCTTTAAGTTTCTCCCGTTGATGGTGACTGGAGTTTGTTCTTGTTGTCGATGGTGGTGGTGCGGTATCTTCATCACCTCTGTCTTCTCTATATTCACTTGAAGTCCCGTCTTCGCTGCCTCTTCTGTCAACTTGTTAGTTTTTGCCTGCAGATCTTCAAGTTTATGTGACATCAGGCACAAGTCATCGGCGAAATCCAGATCTTCTAGGTTCTTTTCCGCCGTCCAGCGTATCCCCCTCTTCTCGCTGCCTACTGTTTGCTGCATGATCCAGTCCACCACAATCAGGAATATCATGGGTGATAGTAGGCAACCTTGTTTCACTCCTGTCCTCACTTCAAAAGCACCACTGAGCTTCCCATTGTATTGTGAATTACTTGGCTGGCATGTAGCATCTTCATATAGTTGTTGAATGAGGCGGATAAAGGTTTGCGGTACTCCGTAGTATTGCAGCAGTTTCCAAATTACTTCTCGGTCGACGCTGTCAAAGGCCTTCTCAAAGTCGATGAAGTTGAGGTAGAGAGCTGATTGCCATTCTATACTCTGTTCTATGATGATGCGTAGTGTAGCGTTGCAATTTGGTCTGCACATGATTTGTACTTCCTGAATCCAGCCAGCCAGCCTGTTCCGGTCGCAGTTTTGAATCCAGTGCATCTTTAAGCCTCTCCAGGATGATGCGGCTTAATATTTTACTTGGGGTGGACAGGAGAGTGATTCCGCGCCAGTTCTTGCAAACACTGAGGTCTCCTTTCTTCGGCAGTTTGATAAGGTAACCCTTCTTCCAATCGTCAGGTACCTTCTCTTCCTTCCACACCTTCTGCAATAGTGGTGTGAGCATGTCTGCTGTTGTCTCTGCATCTGTTCTCAGTGCTTCTGGCGGTATCCCATCTGGTCCTGCTGCTTTCCCACATTTCAGTAGCTTTATGGCGTTCAGGACTTCCATTTTCGTTGGGCGATTTATGTTCACTTGTAATTCAGCGGCTGCAAGTGGTATTTCTGGACGAAGTGCAGGTGGTGATGGATTCAAGAGCTTCTTGAAGTGGTCGGCCCATCGTTTACTCTCTTTCTCTTCTTTCGTAATTAAATTTCCTTCTTCATCTTTTATTGGTTTCATCTGTGTTGGTCTCTTCCCTGATAGCAACCTGGTTATTTGATACAATGTCGTCAGGTCTCTCCTACCTGCAGCCTGTTCTGCTTCACTTGCCAGTGTTTCGTAGAAGTGTCTTTTATCTTTCCGTGCACTCTTCTTCACTTCTTTGTCCAGTGTTTTATACATTGTACTCAGTTCCTCTTGTCGTTGAGCATCATTGCACTGGTTTATCTTCTGCTTCACCATCCTCCTCTCCCTCCTCTATCAGCTTCCATGTATCCATCGAGATCCATTCCTTGTCTTCTTTCTTCTTCCTTCCTAATACTGTTGTGCAGGTTTCTTTCCACATCTCTTTCAAAGACTTCCAGTGTTCTTCCACACAGGTTTCTTCAGGGATGTTGCTCGATGTCTCCCATTTTGTCTTGATGGCTGCCTTGAAGATCTCCTTTGTAGTTTCATCCTTCAGTTTCCGAGTGTTGTACTTGAATTGAGGTCTATCACTAGCTTCCTTGAAGGCTTTTAACTTGATTTGGAAGGTTCCTTGCACTAGATAGTGGTCTGAACCTACATCTGCTCCTCTTCTTGACCTTGTGTTAAGTAGACTGCGTCTCCATTTTCTTGAGATTGAGATAAAGTCGATTTGATTTTTGGTGTGTCCATCTGGTGAAATCCATGTCGCTTTGTGAATATCCTTGTGTTTGTACACACTACCTCAAATCACCAAATCATTGAAGGTGCAGACGTCTGCAAACAGTTCACCATTCTCATTCATTTCACCGAGCGCTTCTCGACCGGTGATGAGTTCTCTTCCTGTGTTGTCCCCTCTCAGTTTGGCATTCATGTCACCCCACCCATTAGAATTTTGATATCGCTAACTGAGGTTTTGTCCAGTGTTGATTGAAGTTGTCTGTAGAAATCCTCCTTTTTCTCTTGCTCTGCATTATTTTTAGGTGCATAAAATTGTATGATTGTGACCTTTCTTCCTTTTGAGTTGAATCTTACTGTCATGATCCTGGAGGAGATTGGTTCCCACTGCATGAGAGCCTTCGATGCTCTTGAGGACATCATGATAGCCACTCGCTCAGTGTGCTCGTGGTTGGCGTCTGGGTGACCGGAGTAGATTATTGATTCTCCAGTTGATAGTTTGGAGAGTCCACTCCCATTCCATCTGCTCTCGCAAATCCCAAGCACTTCAATGTGTTACCTTCTCATCTCCTTTGCAATCTGGGCTGCCTTACTGGGTTCAAACATCGTACGGACATTCCATGTCCCCACGTTTACTTTCGCTTTCATCGAGAGAAGACACATCGGCCAATTGGCTTCCCGAAGGCTTTCACCAACTGGCGTCATTTCGCCTCTCCGATTCCAGCGGGGTATAAGTTTGTTTTCATTTTTTATATTTTGTTTGTGCTTTGAAGTTTCTTTAGCGGTTAGATTTGTTTTACTGGGTAGGGTTGCTAGCCCTATGCCCAACCTTCCCTGTATACCCGGGCTTAGGACCGGCTAGTAACTAGTGAACTAGTTAACCAGGCGAGGTTTTGTAATCCCATGATTATTGTTTACTTAATTAATCGCATTGAAAATGAATTGTTCATCTAAAGCAACTGGTCCCTTTGATATATTTAAACGACGACGAAGATTATCTGAAACATGTGATGTATTAGCGCTATACATTTCCAACAACCTGATAACATATGGACTTGTCGAACTATTTATGTGAAAATTTACGAAGAGGGTCAATGAAGTTAATAGGATACATAGGAATAAGAAGGGAGAGAAAAAAGAAAAAAAACGTTAATCACGTTACTCTTGTTATGAAAATCAATACTACCAAGGTAGGTTCAACGTGAGTACAAGTTGTTTTTGTATACATAAAGGATGGAAAGAACTTCAATAAATTTAAGCACTCGGCTCTGACCACTTTTATGTAGTACTTTAAAGGCTGTTTTCATGTCTATCCTATGGTTAGTTTCTAGTATATGTTTAGTGATAGACGAAGATGAATGTTTGTCACGTGCACTTATCAGATCTGTTGAGGTCACTTGTTTTTGTAGCCACTTAGGTACATATTCAACTTATTAACTTTGTAGGGGTGCGTGTTACAATTCCGTAACGTTTGATCAACCCTACTTAATTTGATGTGCTCTAGTACTTGCTTAACCAGCACTTTACCTAACGTGTAAGTACTGATAACAAAACACAAATCAAAAGAACTGATACGCAATGTATTTGAAGGAGCTTTGTATTTAATTAAAGTAAATGTAATGATAATGAATGGGGGGAAAGTTTAATCAACTTATCTGGCTTGTAAGGCTGAACTAGGGACTCGGAGTACGTGCGTGGTAACCGGCACAATGGAGCGCAAAATGGCGTCAAGCCTGCTCGGATGCATGCTCGTTAAAACAAAACTTAAAAACACCCTAAGCATCCGGAGGCAAGCTAGAGGTTTATTTAGTTAATTTAATTTAATCTATTTATTTTAGCCCTAGTTATATTTTGGTGCCAGTGTGGTGCACTACAACTTCATTGACCCTCTTCGTAAATTTTTACACAAATAGTTCGACAAGTCCATGTGTGATCAGGTTGTTCGAAATGTATAGCGCTAATACATCACATGTGTCAGATAATCCTCGTCTTCTCATTACGCTATTTAAATGAATCATCCGTTAAAATCATGAGTGCCAAAAGTACGATCAAATCACCTATGAAAATATCTTCCTCTAATGATAAATTGAGATTTACGATTTATATGTATTGAAACCAGACTGAAAAAAGTTGACTCCTCAATTGTCTTCCTTAAAAGTTACTAGAATATTCACAGAAACCACATTTTTTCCAATCAAGAGCCTTAATGTAAGAGTAAAACTTAGGCACTGATTTATCAGATGTATCAAACATTATGGAGGAGTATTGTTTGCTAGATTAGCAATGTTGGATTGCAAAATAAAACGCAAACAAGATAGGAGTTTAGATACTAGTGTTTACAGAAGACCCTCACATTCAAATAGTCTCATTGTGTCAGTTAAAGTTGCTCTGATAGAAGTGTCCAAATAACTGGGCCAGAAAACTTACTAGTAAAACAAGATATCAAGAACACCCTACTCATCAAAAATTACCCTTCTAAACTAATTTACAAGTTTATTAGGAATCGTAAGAAAAATATGACTAATATTGGTAACAGAGGCGTCAGTAGTAGTGAGAATAATGTTAATGTTAATATTAGCAATGCTGTGAGGAGAGAATCCAAAACCTTTACAGTATCACCATACAAAGACGGAAACTCATAGACATTAAGTAGGATCCTCAATAAGGTTGGGGTTAGGAGTAGCACTTAAACCTACAATCTCACATAAATAAGCATTGTAGGCTAAAAGATTTTATTCATCCAATTAGACGGAATAGTTTCTTTTACGGAATCCCTTGAAACGCTTGTGGGGCCAAATGCACATATGAAAGTAGTCGACTAGAGTCAATTAGGCTATTGGAGCACAAAATCCCTAGTTAGGTCAAAGTTGGTAGGTCCTAGTAAGGTAAAGAATTGAGAAACAAATTCATCTAAAGATATGCATGCGCATATACCCAACCACACAATAGGAAGGGATAGGGTGAAAAGCCTTAAAACTAACAAAGCAGGATGGAGGGAGAGATTAATAACTGAATCTTTTTTTATCGGATCAATGCCTAATACATGCAACAGGAATGACCTAGCATGTTTTCCGGACATATGGAAAATCCTACCACCCGTATCACAAGGGGGCCAAGGAAACTAAGATTGTATAAAGGATTTTTCGATGATGTGCAGTTATCTTGACATGACTATGGACAGTAAACTGTTTCCAAAACGTAACCCAGTAAACACTACTGTTCCACTGTGTGGTAAATGTAATAAATCACTAGAAATGGATGAGTCTTAATTACATTTAGTTCTGGTTAATGAAGATTTGAAGCATTTTTCATTATCAGCTAGCTCTGTAGTATTGAAGTTAACATGCTGATCATAAACTCTAAGGATTAAAGAGATGTAATAGGTTTTATTTTACAAAAACGCATACAATGAGTTGAAACAACTTCTCAGTGTCAAATGACTTTCAATGCCTATTTCATACAAACTGATTTATGAAACAAAGCAATTTGTGAGATATTTATTGAAGTACTTTATAAATTCAACGCAGAAATTTGTTTGGGGAATCATAATAATTAGGAATTATTACATTCAAGATTTTGTCATTTAATTATACTTTAATTAAGTATTTCAAAGCTTATTTATGCCACTTAAAGTTGTAGAGATGAACCGTTAAAGTAGTGTGACTCATCTAATTTCTCTAAAAAATTTTAGATGGCAAGAAGTCTTATCCCATGAAAACTAACATTAGGTTGTCAACTGCTGGACCGCCTTACAATAAAGCTCCAGTGGATCTCTCGGTATCCTGAAATGTATAGTATCGACAAAGGTACTGCTCGTTCTCACCTGCCACCTCTAATAGGAATAAACAATGGAGCAGTAGGAAATGACAGTATCAGTGGAGTTCTTCCACCATGTAATTCATCATTAGGAGCAGGGAGTATCAACAATAATATGAGAATGAATATACTGAATATCACTCAACTATATGAAGATAGACAGGAGAAAAATTTTGGTGACATTTCAATCACTACAGTCGGTAATCCACTTCATTTTCCCAGTGTTTCAATAGGACAAAATAAACCACAGTGTACTCATCCTAGAAACAGATCAGGTGGATCAGCAATAAAAGGAAACCTTAGTCCATCAACACATAATAGCTTAAAAACGGAGACACAAATAAGCTCCCTCAAAACTCGAAATCGAGCTGCCGCATGCGGAGGAGGAGGAGGAGGAGGAGGCTCAGATTTTGTAAATACCGTACACCCCGACTGTACAAATGAATCCACTAGCATTTCACTTCAATTAACTGAGTCAAGTAGCACATTGTGTACAAATCAAAGGCCTAACCAAATGATAACAAAAAGTCTTACTCCGGAAATGGCAATGAAATTGTATGTTCATAAGTTAAGTGGATATGAACACCATGAAATACACAACTATTCCAATATTTATTTTGTGGGTCACAATGCAAAGAAAAGAAATGGAGTTCTAGGAGCAGCAAATAACTGTGGATATGATGATGACCAAGGCTCATATCTACATACTGTACATGATCATGTTGCTTATCGTTACGAAGTATTGAAAATCCTTGGAAAAGGCAGTTTTGGTCAAGTTGTAAAAGCATATGACCATAAAAATGGTGTTTATGTTGCTTTAAAAATGGTAAGAGATGAAAAACGCTTCACACATCAAGCAGCTGAAGAAATTCGAATTCTAGAAGAATTAAAGCAGCAAGACAAGGACAATACACGTAATGTGGTGCATATTTTTGATCATTTTACCTTTCGCAGTCACGTCTGCATGACATTTGAACTACTAAGCATGAATTTATATGAATTGATTAAACGAAGTAAATTTCAAGGGTTTCCACTTCAGCTAGTTCGAAAATTTGCTCATTCTATTTTAGTCTGTTTGGATATGTTACACAGAAATAAGATCATACACTGTGATCTGAAGCCAGAAAACATTCTTCTTAAACAACAAGGCAGAAGCGGAATTAAAGTGATTGATTTTGGTTCAAGCTGTCATGAAAGTCAACGTATATACACTTATATACAGTCGAGATTTTACCGAGCTCCAGAGGTGATCCTTGGCTTTAAATACGGTACATCGATAGATATGTGGAGTTTTGGATGCATTTTAGCAGAGCTGCTTACAGGTAAGGGATAACTTTTGTATAAGTGTAATGACTTAATTATTCGGATTGTTTGTATGTTATATTTCTCTTTGATAAGATTAAGACTGAATATAAACTATAAAAATAGAGAAAAAGACTCAACTCATACTGTGACACCATATTTATTACTAACGATTGCAAAAACACCACATATAAAGAGCGGAAAGCCAGGAGTGAACCTAAAATTAAAGTTGAAATCAGTTCAAATGTCAATTACAATTGCTAGACGTGATAATTAAATAAACCATCAATGTTTTTCTGCTTTTTTCCTAATTACTGTCAAATAGTTTCAATCACATTTAAACTAGTATGATCCAACTAGGATACACTACCCACCGGAAGCACTAACTTTAGGCAGAAAAATGGAGATATCCCTTCAGAAATAAGTACTTATTCAACGCAGATTAAATCAATTTTTACTTGAAAGTTGGATTACGAAACATAGAACTTATAATCTTGCCGTTGGCTCACGTCTTGTGGAAAAGTCTCCTCATCACTACTTTTGCAATTTGTTTACGTAGCCCCAGTAACTTATTTTACACAGTATTAAATATATTGCTCAAAGAGGATTTTATTTACTTGGTAAGTCAGATCAGCTCTGATCGGCCTCTCATTGACGAAAGTTGTTCATGGACACAAAAGGCTCACTAAGATTCTATCAGCTTATACTATCTGTAGTACCGGTGTGATATCCAACCGCCTATCAGATGTTGAATGTAGTCCACAGCGGTTCACTCGTCTCTATTACATGTCTATGAAGTATGACCATTAAAGGTAAATGATATAAAAACGTTTCAGATATTTGACCACCACTGCCCTCGTATCATAGACCATGTGTTATAAAAACACCTTAGTGACATATAAGTCAAGTGTAGAGCTTTTAGGTAAAATAGATAGGCCAGTTGATGATATGGCTCACAAGTGAACGCCGTGATGCAGGCATATCCAAATATTATCTTCATCTTTATCGTCATATCGAATTCTGTTCTTATTACTCTATGTAGGGAAGAATGCATTTATATCAAGCACATGTATCAGAAGTTACGTTCATTTTAAAGTTTACGCCATTTTTACACAGCTAAAACCTAACTAAATATTCGAGGCATTAATTCGAACTGATTCATCATGAGAATTGAGCTAGTAACTAACTAGAAAGTCTCGCTGTTAAATAGGTATCCTTTTAACTAGATAACAAAGGGATATCAGCATCAGTGAGAAAGTCCTATCTTGATAAAAGTACCTTAACAGTCATATTGCTGGTTACACTTTTTGAATGCTTCTGTTGGACAAAACCGTCTACACGATATTTATTGGTCAGATCTTATAGGCGCTTCCTAACAGAAGAAGTTATATCGTTGCAAATGAAATGTGAGCTGCTGATAATAACCTTGTCACTGTTTGCTATAGCTTCAGAATATTAGCATAGGACCTGTAATTACTGCGTAACAGTCCAAGATATGACACCCCATATCAGTACATCGAGTGAGAATGCACCGAAATGAAAGATGAAGAAATGAAGCAGTCTTAGATGATAGAAAGTCATGAAGGGAGGTAAATTAGGTATGAGACAATACTGAAGATCATTATTACTACCAAGATGAAGATAATGAGTGGATGCATCTCCATCATTGAGATCTTTCCTGAACCGTATTACGTAGAATCTTCAACCATTGAATTCTGTTGTTATGAAGACCCCGAATGGGAAGTCTACATCTCCCAAAAAGGCTTAGGTCAATGGTCATGTTTTAGTCTAGCCACTTTCACCTCTTTTCTAGCCTGAACATGCCTGCATATGTCCTAGTCATTTGTGTTGACGGAGGTTTACTTCATCAACTAACTCTCCCCTTCTTTCCAAAACTCTACGCCTAGCTTATACATTATTAACTTGGTGACACCACAATAAATGTCCGGTGTTATCGAACACTTGAAGCCATCTGATATCTAATACCGTTGATGGTCAGATTTAACAGCCTTATGGTGGAATAGGGAGAACGGTAGTACAGTGCACTTGACCCTTGATAGATAATCGGATATCTCGCCGGGGCCTTAAATGATGATTTTGGAACCCAAAAGCAAGTAACGATGCCTGAAACCACCTACAATTCTTGACAAGGCAATGATGGACTGTGTCCGTCAAGAGGTCTTGTAGTACTGTCAATCAGTAAGATGACTGCACAGGAAAAAATACCACCTTAGATAGAAACAAATCACTAAGGTAGACAAACACCCATAAAGTGTCGCTTCGCAGCCGAAAATATTAATTGACTTGATGATGCACGAAAAATTGTACTGAATGGAGGGAAAGAGTTAGCAGCCATCATTATTGGGTAATAATTCAGCTCGGCGTATTTAAAATGTCTCTTAGTCGCGTTTCGTTCCAGCTCCAGAACTGAGTTTATGACCCACTTTCTGTAAAACCCCTTAAACTAGTTTTTTGAAGACTTCTAGGTTTATCTGTTGAAAATTAAGATACCTACCGATCCAAGTTTTTTCTGATAACTGAATTCTTGACAAGTTCCATCATTTAGTTATGTGATACTTGAATCTAGATATGCCTTCATTGTCCTGTTCATTGTAAAGAAGATGTTTAGATAAGCTGTATTCAGTATTTCTATTAGACTACTCATGTGATCAGTTGTTGCAAATGTTTTAGCGAAACTAAAACAACAAATATTGTAGAATGTGATGAATTCATTGTATTTCGGCACCTTCTCCTCATTTGCATGGAAGCTATAAAGTTATCAGATATGCACAGAGAAATGCTTTCTACATACTTTATTCATCAAGAGGATGATAGTCTTATTGATCTTGGTGACTAGCAGACGAATCCAGGAAACTCGTTTCGTTCTATTTGGGACTCGTCGATTGAGTGCACCTGCACCCCAGTGAGTGATGTTGCTTCCCTGAGGCTCAAATCCACTACCCTTCGCTTCAAATACCAGAGCCTTATCCACTAAGCCACTGAGGCATGATAGTCACCTGTTGTGTGACGGGTATCATTTGTTGTTATGATACTTGTAATTTCCCTTTGCTATAAAGGGCCGAGTTGACGGAAAATAATGGAAGAATTGATGCAGACTGAGGTAGTTCAAACTAAATAACTTTCTTATTGCTAAAATAAAGGTAATGAGGCGCATATGAACATTAAGCTTACCACAGAAAATGAGACAAATATCGAATTTCATTTTTGAACTTAGATAAAAAAAGACATGGGTCATGTCAGAGATGTGTTTGCAGAAAAAAATATGGAGTGAACAGTATCTCCATTTCAACAGTTTCTATCCTATGAGTTGTAAGCCAGGACTTATTAAAACTCTAATTCATAGGGTTAGCAAACAATTCAGAAAAACTGACTGAAAAAAAATCAGATAATTAATGGATGCCTGAAAGAAAATGGATACAGTAAGAGATGTATAGAAAAAGTCAAGGTGAGAACAACAGAAACAAGTCAAATTGATAATCCTGAGCAGAAAATTGCATTTCTTCATCTGGTTTTCAAGAGATATAAACTGATGAGCAGGGTTATTAGAAGGATAAGAACCATTTTGACAATCACCTCAGTAGGTAAATTAGTCTTCTTATGCCAATCAAAGTGTTCACTGAATCAATCGAAAATCAACAGGTGTCCAGCTTATGTCACTTTAAATTGTACTTAACGGTTTTTGTGTATATGTCTGAACACGTACATCAGAAGAACAAAAAGACGGCTGAGATTCGATTTAGTGAACAAATTCTGAATAAGTTCAGCTTAAAGGAGCCAAAATGTCATGGAAATTTCATTACTAAACAGTGTGATGGAGATACGAATCATCTTTCAGATCTCCAGTTCATTTAAAATAATCAACAAACAATGCAAATTTACCAAGATTCTCAGAAACAATTGTTATTGAAAGAATTCAACCGAGCTTATACATCTAAAAAGTAACAGCAGTTAGCTTCCGACTTCCATGGTAGCCATTGATTTGTTACTCAATATAAGTCCTTCCAAAAATTTTATTGACATTTTTGTATTTCTATCCTCTTCTACAACTGATTTCACAATCACTTCCTACTTCATATCCACAATTTTATTATTTGACCCAGAGGGGTTTGACCTCAACCCATACAAAAGTTTTAACCTTATATTTACATCATTAGTTTATCACATACACCTAAGTAGTACTTTCGATTCGTTATATGACAATATGACCATATGAAAATCTGATAACTTTGATTTCAGTGATCAGAAAATTACTTAACTTGGACTTCCCCTGTCTGCATCAATTATTCCATCATCTTTTGTCAATGGACTATCATTCTCTTGATAGATAAAGTATATAGATTACATTTCTCTGTATATAGCTGATAATTTGTTAGTATGCGTGCACTTGAGAAGGAGTCGAAATACAATGAATTCATCGTATTCTGCAAAATTTGTTGCTCTAGCTTTTTTTTGAAGGAACCAATTGTAAGAAGTTTCTGAAGCAAAAGTTTCCACCTGAAACTAGTATATCATTAATATACCTTGCAGAGAAATTTGTTCATTGGTTAAAAGTGAAAAATCTTTCTCCCTATCAATTTAGCAAATAAATACATCCACAAGTGCTGATGTCAGTAGGTTACTCATAGTCATAATCTTTTCGATAGTGTGATTTATCAATGAACTGAATTCAAATATTTCCTACACATAAGCTGAATAGTTTTTCTGCCGTTTCTTGAGAATAAAAATATGCTTTTAGTACCAGCTTATAAAGTAGATATATTATTCCAAAATACGATTGTAAATAATGAAGATATTTCATTGAAAACCATCAATTTACGGGATATACCTAGTCGAAATATTTGTCCTGTTAACTAGTGGCTATTCCTGAAATCATGAAAAGCTTGTTTTCTTTGGAAGTAATAGCAGTTCTTTTACTTACCAGTTTGTGACAAGGACAGCCATTCATACAGTTTTTTTTATTATCTCAATAGTACATTAACCTTCTGGAGTTGCACTTACC